TTTTCACACATCTGTAATTCTGTCTTTTTAGTGAAACTCCTGTTTGTTGAGGCCATTAAATCTTCCTTCACCAAGAGTCACAGGAAGGAGTTAACATCCTAATAAAGCTGAACTTGGTGCCAATATCACATTGTTTCTCTCATGACTCTATTCTCTGACTTCATGTTTCCAGATCTTTCCTTCCTCTCTTTAGAAGTTGTTGCGGTCGATCCGGTCCTGCTTCATCTGCTTTTTGGCCTTTTCTGTCTGCTGGAGGATGTGTTCAGCGAACTCCCTCAGGGCTCCCATCCCAGCGGCCTGACGGCAGGCGAAGGAACCTGCATTAGCGGCTTCCTTCGAGGCGTCGGCAGGAACGCCGCTCAGACCCGCCAGGTTCAGACAGGAGGCGTCTGAAGTGTCATTACCTGAGAGAAAAAATGAGAAAATTATTTTAATTCAACTGCTTTAATCTAGCAGAAAATGTCCAGCAAGACGTTTTCTCTAGTTGTGCTCTCATTACAAATGTGCGCAAAACTTTGACGATATTCCGCTAATGTCGAAAAAACACAATTTTGTAATTGCGGCATTTCCATTATTGAAGAGCAATTAAATTAAACCCATGAATGAGTTTGTTCACGTAATAAGTCATTAAAGCACGCTGCGCCATCACCCTCCTAACACTTCCTGTCGTCTTATTTGTTGTTTCCACCAGTAGTAACATCCAGTTCTTGTTTATGTGACTTGAGATGCGAAAAAAGTTTCTCCATTGCAGTTTTACAAAATACACACATTTCTATGCAGCCAAAAAGCCACCTCATCCTGGCACCAAAACATTTTATCAAATAAATTTGTTTTTAAAATGTTTCCATTGAACAAATTTATTCTCGTAATTACAATTTGCTCCATTTCATGGTCAATGGATCAATTGACGATCACCTTCAGCCAGTAGAATGCATCTCCTTTTTTTGATCAATTAAAATACAATCCTTCAAATTTTCAAATGTTACAATGGTGCTTTGACTAGGCCATTCAACACATAAATATGGTTTGATCTAAAGTCCGTTGTAGATGTGGCTGCATGTTTTGTTTTCCTGCTGGAAGTTGAACCTCTCAAATATTTTCTAACCTCTGAAATCTTTTCTTCCAGGATTGTTCTAGATTTAGCTCCATATTTCTGTCCCTGCTGGAGCCATGATGCTAACACCGCTATCTGCTAGCACTGTGATGGTTTTTCCCCTAGGGACTGTATTTTGCAGCTGTTTTCTGTTTCATTCCTCCACCTGTCTTCTGAAGTAATTCATGTATCCCTATACAAGGCTCTGGATCACAGGATGCCATTATGTGTCTCTATACACATAGTTTAAAATCATTAAAAACAGCTGAAAGAAGGCAGCTCTTCACCCATGTAGGCCACATTCTTCCAGCTCAGCTTCCTCTGCTCCATGACTTCCTGCACGTCCTTCAGCGGTTCGTCTCCAACATCCACAACCTCACAGCTCAACATCGTCTTCAGTTTGCCAGACAGTGACTGAGTCACAGGGTCGTCCCTGGAGGTCAGCAGCACCACCTGAACAACAGAGCCAAAGCGCCTTTAATACGACATCCACCAAATGTTCACCCATGATGTTTCCACAGATGGGAAATCCAACCTCAACTCCGTCGTTCTGCAGCATCCGGAGCCCAGTGGTGTCTCTACTGTGGACACACACCATGTCCTCTCCAGATACGGACAGAAACACTCGTCCATCGGTCAAACATCCGGACACTCTACAGAAAATTAAGGAAACTCCCCGACCAAAGTAGCCGTACCTGTTGGTTGAAGCACAAAAAACATGAAACCAATAAAGATTCATGGTTTTTCTGTCATATGACCAGTTCAGGGTGAACCAGTCAGTCTAATTCTGTCCTAGTGACGCGTTTGTTATGGCGGACGACATTGTACCTGATGTGACGAGCAAAAGTCAGTTCGAAAGGGCTTAGATTACAAGTGAAGATGATATTCACACCATATTTTATTAAATCTTGGTTTAATTGTTCTCTACTTTCCCTATATTGATCAGTTATTAATTAAATGCTTTACTGTCTCCATGTCCATACCCTTCACATCTACCTGATGGATGTTTACCTACCAAATGTAACGTGTTAATTTATTTCGCCTTCCTCCAATTATTTCCATTATTCCTACTTTATTTTGCATTTATGACGACCTTTGGTCTCCTCCCAAAGCTGCTGCCATTCAGATTTAACTTTATTAATAGATTTTATCTATTTTATCCATAATCCTAACTTGTTTTAAAGAAACTGACTAAATTATTTCCCCTCTATATATTTATGAGCAGGTATCCACATAAAGTTAACGTCACTTGAGATTATCCAAGTCTAAATATGATTTCATAAACTTCTCACCAGTTCCAGATGAATTTCAGATGAGAAATTTTAAATGAACTTTAATGTTGACCATGAGTCTGAATATATAAATACTCTTTCCATCCTATTTTGCTCCACCCACTGAACCACCGCCAACATTTCCACTGTATACACCTGCCTACTACCTGTGACTGAGATACTTGAGCCTGCAGCCCCATCTAGTGGCCAAACAGGGAATATAACAAATATCAGGCTCCACATTTTGCTTCGCCTGCTGAGATGAAGCACCAGGTGTTTTCTAACTGTCATGTTTGAGTTGTTTTGACCTTTTTAGTGGCAGTCTGACCTGAGGACTCTCTGCTCGGCCAGTGGCCAGTCGATGTCCACGTCGATGTCCACGCTGTGCTCCGGCTCCATCTCAAAGTAGGCCACCTTCCCGCCCTGAAGAACATCAGAAAGTCTTCACACAAAGAACC